GGAAATCCACCACGGCAAGAGGCGGCAGCAGAGTCGACGGTGGCGCGGCAGTGGTCGACTTGCCGCCGTCCTCACAGCCAGGTAAGTTGATCTAAAATACGCAACTTCAGCTACGCTATTCACGTAGCTGAAGTTGCGTATCTTAGGTCGACCCCCCCCCCGCTGTAGTGTAGACCTAGCCTTAGATAAGTTCATGCAGGATAGGTCCATCAATGTCTATTAGTCAAGATGGTCAGGGATGCAACCCCATGCTCTGGGTGTCCCTAAACCTCTGACTGCCAGAAGCTGGGACTCAACAACGGGATGGATCACTCGATAATCGCCCTTTTGTGTTCATTCTCTCTGAAGCATCTGGTATTGGCCACTGTCAGAAGACGAGATACTGGGCTAGATGGACCATTCATCTGACCCAGTACGGCCATTCTGCTGTTCATAAGGGGGCTGAATTAAGGTTGTCTGTGCAACCTTAATTCTGGTATTTCCTAACTTTTGAGGGCTTGACCTTAATAATGTTCTTTTAATGTCATTTCTGGATATAATTTATATAGTCTTTCCATCATGTTTCTACAAACTTCTTTGGAATCGGTTATGCCAATATAGAATAGTGATATAAGAGGTAAAGAGTTGTACAGATAGACTTCTCCTGTTAAAAAGGTGATTTCTAATAAAAACAACTTTTCTTAACTAGTTAGACAAGCCCATTCCAGTTTCTCACTGGCAGCAATAGCGGCTCTGTATTTTGGTGCAGTTTTCAAAAGAATAAGCTCACTTATAACACCAAGGCTCATTTAGCTTACAATGGCAGCAGTTCTCAGAGCTCGCTGATACCTTGAGGTAGCTTAAAGCAGGTGGTTGCTCAAACAGTGTTGATGCAGGGAAGAGAACATTTTAAAGTGACAAGTATAATTTCCTAAAATCATTCTAAAAAAATACTTTGTGCAGTGTCTCTAATACAGCTGATCTCTGTGGCAGCCAGACTTCCTCCATCAGTTCTCCCAGGATCTACAACCTAGTTCCTGGAAAAGCCAAGTGTCTTTCTGGTAATAGATTTACAACTAAAATCCACCACTGAGTGGGACCCAGATTAAGAGGTGCAGCCATGAGTGACCCATGTAAAACTGCGCACACATTATGGCTAAAATCTCATTAAATCAGTCACTCAGTTCTGAAAGTTGCAGCCTTTATCTCCAGCCTGTTTTAATAATGTGTCATCACTTAAAAATTGCACACAACTGTTAACGCTTTATTACATCCGGTATTATTTGCAGCATGGTTTTGACCATGCAGCTGATGTTTATCGCTACTTATTTGGCTTTTTTGGTACAAGAAATGTAGCAGTTCTATAGTCATGGAACAGGCTGCTACTTCTCTGCAAACAGGGTAGAGCTGTGAAAGTTTGAAATATCCCATATGGCAAGAAAACTCTGAGAAAGCAATTTTGAGATTTCAGGCTTAAGGAGAGCCACTTCTGAAAACTCATCTATGTGAATTACTGACATCAGTTAATCCTATGATAACTGCATCATTCACATGTCACTGTACGTTTGAGGGGAGGACCAGATTAATACTCTGAAGACTGCAGATAGATGGAGCATTTGTGTTGTCCTAAGAAATCACTTGCCTGGCAGTTTGGAAAATGCTACTATTCTAGGAGTTAAAGCATACAGTGAGATATTGTCAAGGAAATAAACAATTTAGACCAACGGTCTTTTCTGGTAGGCCTACAATTAGACCTAGCATCTGTATTTTGGTTTAAGTGCTTACCCCTGTTCTTCACCTGCCGTCCCTGTGCTCAGTACATTCAGAAACACAGCCCAAGAGTTCTGCTTCCCTCTCTGCTACTCTATATTCCATATTAATGGGGCCCTACCAAATTCACAGTCCATTCTGGTCAATTTCATGGTCATAGGATTTTAAAAATCGTAAATTTAATTATTTCAGCTATTTAAATCTGGTATTTCACGGTGTTGTAATTGTAGGGATCCTGACCCAAACAGGAGCTGTAGAGGAGGTTGCAAGATTATTGTAGGGGGTGTTGCGGTACTGCTACCCTTACTTCTGCGCTGCTGATGCTGGCGGCTGGAGAGCGGCGCAGCTGGAGAGCGGCGGTTGCTGGCCGGGAGCCCAGCTCAGAAGTAAGGAAAGGCATGGTATGGTATCGCCACCCTTACTTCTGCAGTGCTGCCGGCAGAGCAGGGCCGTCAATCAGCAGCCACTACTCTCCGGCCGCCCGCCTCTGAAGGCAGCAATGCAAAAGTAAAGGTGGCATGGTATGGTATTGCCACACTTACTTCTGTGCTGCTGCTGGCGGGGCGCTGCCTTCAGAGCTGGGCATCCGGCCAACAGCTGCCGCTCTCCAGCAACTTAGCTCTGAAGGCAGCGCAAAAGTAAGGGTGGCAATACTGCGACCCCCCCCCCTAAAATAACCTTGTGACTCTCCTGCAACTCCCTTTTGGATCAGGACCCCAAGTTTGAGAAATACTAGTCTCCCCCGTGAAATCTGGTCCTTGTTGTGGTTTTACCTTATACTATACAGATTTCACGGGGGGAGGGGAGTGGGAAGGAAACCAGATTTCACGTTCTGTGATGCATTTTTCATGGCTGTGAATTTGGTAGAGCCCTACATATTCATATAGGAGGGAAAAAGCTAGGTGAATTAAGAGCCAACTAGTGTAAGTGAAACTAAATATATTTTGAAGTTTGAGATCTTTACGTATTTGGTGTTTATTTTTCCTGCCTTTGTACTTCCTGGTTTCTGCTGAAACTGGAAGCAGAATGCTATTCTTGCAATAGTTCCAAACTGGATTGAACCAGACAGAACCAGCAAGTTCACAAGAAAAGCCTATTCATACAAGGTTGCCAGCTCAATGGATTTACAAAATTAACTTTGGATAAGCATCCAGAGTCAAACATTTGAATGTTTTTCTTCAACTAACTTCTAAATCTTTTGAGATTTTCCTGTTCCAATTCCTTGCCAGGTGACAGAACAGAGCAGATAGACCGTACAGGGTTATGATGCAAAGTGTATGAATGTGCCATTAAGCCTGAGGGCTTGTTTACACAGGGACATGCAAGACAATTAATTCGAATTAACTAGAGGTGTGAATTGACAATGGATTAGTTAAATCCCTGTGTGACTAGTCTTCAGAATTAAAGTGCCCTTAATTCAGTTTATTTTAATTCACTTCCAAAATGGTTTAAACTAAATTGATTGAAGGCCACTTTAATTCTGAATAAAAATGTTCACAGAGGAATTTAGTGCAGTTTAAGTAATCCACTTTGAAAGATCATTTGGGTTATTTTTCCTGAGTATCCACATGTAGACAAACCTTAGAAAACTCAGTGACCTTCCCAGTGGGTTTTTACTAATATTGTAGCCTCAGTTTCAGAAAATTGGTAGATTTTTCCAGAGAGAAAGTTGGAAAATAATGTTGTTAAAATAACAACTGTCTGTTTAAGGACAATAGCAATAATATGGATACTTTGTCAGGGTTTATTGAGCTTTGTGTGCTACATTAAGGAAAAGAGAGAAAAGGGAACTGCCTACTTTTGCAACAGCAACTGCACTGATTTTTTAAAAATGGGAGCACGGTTTTAAAGTTCCTAAGACAAAATTAAATGAGCTGTGAAAATACTGAAAATCCATTCTGTCTATGATGAAAAGTTTCCTGTCCGTCCAAAATCTGGAGAGAGAAAAAGCGGACGAGCACACATTAAGCACAATTGAATGGAGAAAGTTGTGCAGTAAAACTTCATTAAATCTCTGTCCACTAATCTGTAAACCCAGTAATTCCCCTACAGACGCCAGTGGACTCACCTTACAAAGATCAGTAACAGAAACAGAGCTGTGGTGAAGTCTCCCATTACTAAGAATTTGACTTTGGTTCAGGCTCTTTTATGGTCTCCAACCCCAGGTAAGTTAACGGGGATTGTATAAATCAGGGAAATATTTACTAGTATTCTATAAGTCATGAATAGCTATAAAACTAAATTGCACATGTTAAAATGAATGAGGGCAGCACACTTTGTAGTGGGATAACCGTGATTCATTGATTACTCAGTAGTTCACAAAATGTTATGATCTACAGTGGGTCTGCTAGTTACTAGCAAGATTCTGCTGAATGTTGAGGGGAAAATCCACATGCTCTGTGAAATTAGTTCGTGTTGTCTGCATACCCATAGATCTTTCAGTGACTGCAGAACTTTAGGGAGTAATGTAAGGACTGGTTGGCTATGGGGTTTGTTTATGGGATATGGGATATTTAACTTTTAGGTCGCTGTTTTCAACCCAGGCTACCATTTGATGGATGATTAGTAGATTTTGTATAATGAATTAGTGGTCTCCATCCAGTTCTTACTTGGCTAGGCCTCCATATCCTCAAAATCAGCACACCTTGGCATCCTGGTTAGCTAATCTTGCTCAGAGGTGACCACTCCAGTTTAAGGCTGGAGTCTATGGATGGGCAAGCCCGGCCACTACCAACACTGAACCTGTTTTGTGGGTAAATAGAGCTGGCAGGGCTCATCCTTAAGTAACTTTTGGGAATGCAAAATTAACTTGCAACAAAAAATGAAAAGAGGAAGCTACAATAGAGAAGACTAGAACAACAGATACAAAGCATTACAGACATTATGTGTTTAGAGAGCCAATATCCTTCTACTCTAGAACTATGCTACAAACATTCACTGCAGGCTGATTATTGGGCTTTGTTTTATTAATTGGCAAACTAGATGTAAATAAATAAAGTTCTCTTCAAACTTGATTTTGTATTACTTCCACATACTCTGTTGTCTTCCATGAAGAGCCAGTATGACATTTCTGAGTATCTATCTTGCATTTTCCTAGCAAGTTAATTAACACATTGTCACTCACACAGTTGTATCACTTGTGTGTGTGTGTGCCAGACCGTGACATATGATATTAACCATTTACACACCCAGGTGACAGCACAACTGTCCTGCTCGTGTTTCTAAACATTTCCCTGTGGTTGTGTTCACAGCTGGGGCACTCAAGGTGACTTTACCACAACGCACGCACTTCCCGCAGTGAAGGTGAAGCTGTTTACAGAGAGCACCGGAGTGCTGGCTTTAGAGGACAAAGAACTTGGGCGGGTAAGAAAAATCTCCACTTTAATGATGTCTCTCTAGGTCTGTTGATGAGGTTAAGAAAATATCTCTGGAAGCAAGCAGAGCTTGGAAGTGATTCCAAGACACACAGCAAAAGAGGGCGTGCTAAACACACTCTCTCTCCACGACAGTGTTGGAAATTGATGCAGTTCATAAGTTGTCTTTGGTGTTAGCTTTTAATGGCAGTAGTTCAGCTGGCTAAGCCCTCACAGAACAAATGCAGAATGTCTTTTGTGTGATATTGGCAGTCCTGGATCCCTTAGAAGTGCACACAGCTGAGGGAAAGAAGACAGAGATTCTTTTAAAGCAGAAAAAGGGGTTTAAGGCTAGACAAGTGAGTGTGAGGCTGCTTTCATATACACATTACATTCACTGCCGCACTTGGGGAAAATAGCATTGAAGGGGCTGATTTGCAGCACCTATTCACCAGGTGAAATCCTGACGCCATTGAAGCCAGTGGCAACATTCATGTTGGCTTCAGTGGGGCCAGGACTTCACCCTAGGACAAGGGTAGGCAAACTTTTTGGCCTGAGGGCCACATCTGGGTGGGGAAATTGTATTCAGGGCCATGAATGTAGGGCTGGGGCAGGGGGTTGGGGTGCGGGTGGGAGTGCGGGATGTGTGTGGGGGGTGCGGTGTGCAGGAAGGGGGCTCGAGGGG